TGGACACTCTCAGCTCTTCATATCCTTGCCGGCAAAACTGTACGCTGGCAACTGTGCTTTGTCATGCTGTCGTTGATGCTTCAAATATACTCAACAAGAAAGCAAACGATCCCAAACCGAAAGGAAATCTCTTAACACCTAGGCTCAATTTCCCCCAACGTGGAGCTAGAACTTATCAACTTCTCAGCACGAATGCAACACCCTCCCAACCTTTATAGTGAAACATTCTGAACAAAATCATCCACCAGCTGCAAAGAAGGAAACTCCTGCAAATCAGGCCCTTTGCATTGAGTTTGTTGGTGGGCAAAACCAGTGTCCCAAAACAGCTCTCGCAAAGATCGATGACTTGGAATGCAGCCAAATCTGTAGGACAAATCAAGCAACCCTCCCACCCACCAGGTGTCCAGAAGTTGCTGCTCTTCTCTCCGACCTGCCAACAATGAGACTGAAGCCTGAGAAAATGGCGACTCGAAAAGGAAAACACTGCAGGTGGTGAACTCCACTTCCATCGATTATGTAACAGGAGTGTTTTCGATCACAGCAGCCACATCCATCGATCACAGCACTTCATGGGGAGACGCCCTATTCTCAAAATTTATCGAAGACTGAGGTTGATATAACTTCGACCCCAGTCCTTCAGTCCAAAGTTCCTCTATTCCATATTGCATTTGCTTGCCAGCCTTTGGTGTCGTTTGGTGTTTCATCCTTATCATTTATCATCCTTCCACCAAACCGCTGAAAAAACACCGCCTCTCGTTCACCATCCGACACGACCGTCCGTTGTGTTCATCGGCCCCGTCCGCTCCGCGTCGTCCCCGGTCCGCGGAGCTGCGGGTCGGGCGCTCGACGGTCGGAGCTTCGGTCGCCTTTCGGTGGTCAGGAGCTCTTCCAACTTCTGCTCCTGTGCTTCGAGGCTCCACTGCAGCTCCTGCGGCGCCAGACGGAAGATGGAAACGGCGCAGCGACAGGCGCATGAGTGACAGCTTTGGGCTGCAGAAAAGAGACCCTACTGGCTGGAGGGGAGAGACTTGGGGTCACAAATCCCCAGGTTTTGAGGTCCCCACACCCCAGGTGTTTCTTTTTTTTGCCTTGAGCTTGAGGAGTTTTCGACCGGTGACCTGAGCGACCGGAGCAATGAACATTGAGCCCATTGAGCCATGTGAACCCCGCTACGTAGCACGGTAATAGCTGGACTCTGGTGGCAAAGCACACTAAGCAGTAGGTGGAACAAAGTGTACACACAAACAACAATAGGGTGTATCATCTGATAGGGTGTATCATGATGTGTATAATAGGGTGGAACAAAGTGTAGCACTGTAGCACACTAATAAGGTGTACACTCCTTCTCACAAGGGTCCGTCTTTACTCCGCCAGGCCTTCGTCTTAACAATAAACAATGGACCAATCCTGGATTTAGAAGGGTTGTACCATGTGAGCCCCTCATGACAGGCTGTCCCCATAGAGGAATGATGGCACATCCTCATGGATGGCAAAGAGACGATCACTCGCCCTGGAACGGGATACTCTAGCCGCGAGAGCTTATTTTGCCAAAGGTTAACCCGGCTTTAATAGTTCAAAGTGATGAGAAATACATTGTAATACCATAGCAACACTATGGACAACACCACCCATCTGTGAATGAAATCCTAGCGGATGGGCATCCAGTTGCCAAAAAAAACGCCTCGACCAGTGGCTGCAGTTCGTCGAAGACTTCAGCCTCGCACACAGTGGAGCCAACACAGTGGACCAAACGTTGACCTCACTGAAGGTTTCACCAGACTCTTCCAGACTCGACCAGGGCTCAAGGGGGAACGTCTGGGCCATCTGGCGTTAAAGGGGGAAGAAGAACCCACTACATTGATACATATATTATATCATTTATATATGGTGTAGATGCAATTCATTGACTACGTACACTTCCTGGAATGATCATGAAGGGATAACCATGCAAATCCGACTACCAAACAGCTGGTGAACTCCGCTGAACGGTCATCCTGTCGGTCCCGGAGAGTAGTGGGCTGGACTACCTCCAGCCAGGACACCCCTACATGGTCGGACGGTATGTATAAGACCCACAAGTACCACTGAGAAGTACCCACTGAAAAGGTCAGGATCACTTAGCAGTTGCCACTCTTCAATGCTTGAAGATACACACATTGAAATGGCCAAGCCTTCTCCAACTTCTCAACATTGCAATCATTGCCACCTGACAAATCAATATTCCAAGAGAAATATCACAGCAAAAAATGTTGCAAAAGAACATAAAAGAACACCAACACGGCAAATCTGTGGCGTGCGGAGAGAAAAGGACATGATGCAAACAAGCGCAGCACGTCCAAGTTCTGGCGCTGTACTTTTGCATACATTCCAATATCTCAAGACAGTCAGTCACAAATGATTTTGCATTTGGACAAATACAAAACAAGCATATTATATAGGACCAATGTAACCAGAAAGACAGTAGGATCAATTTCCACCAAAGACGGCCGGTCCAACGGCTTTTCAACGACGCAAAAGGCGGCCTTGTCTAAGCCGAGCGTCAAGAGCCTGGCAGGCCTTGGTCTGCTGAAATGGCCGAATCTGACGCCGAAACACAGGAGAGCCTGGCCAAAGGGTACCTGGTTGGTGGTTGCAACTCGAACAGAATAGGAGTCAGTGGGTGGAACAATCAGCCCAAGTAAATTAATGGTTGAAAAGAAATAGATCTGAAACTAGCACCCAGCTACAGCTAACCAAAAGACAGGATTGACAGCTACCAAAAGCCACTTTACTGCCTAACTATGACTAACTCCACATATTACATCACCACACATCACCTACATTCACCTACAACTATTAGGTTGGAGGCCAACGCTAGCAGGTTGGAGGCCATCGCTATTACCAAATGGAGCTGAAAGAGTGAAACAAATAGCTTTACAAAATTCAGCTCTTGAGGGTGGGGACGACTGACGATTCCTCAAGCTGTAGGAAGCAGCCACCAAGCTTCACCTGATTTGGCTGTGGGTGAAAAGGGGTACCGACCGGTTGACCACAGAAAATGAACAGAATGGACGAAGGAGGTCAACCTACCCTGCTTTGGGGCCGTGTACTCGCTCGCGCTCTTTTTCCACTTGAGCCAAAGTAACGAAGTG